GTGGGGGGTATGGATATTTTCTGGAAATACACAACACAATTAAAAGAAAAATTCTTTTGTCAGTGCTTAACATTATTATTTTCATATACTAGTAATGATAAAAGGGTAAATTTAACACCGTGAAAAGATGAAAAATTTAGAGGTCTTCTACTCCGACAAAGGACTAGTGTCGGAAACGTCAGTAAGTTTTTCCACCTTTTCATGGTGTTATATTTACCCTTTTATCATTACTGTTTCATTAGAAACACTGACACAGCTCACACTAGTTTTTAGCTAGTTATCTCTTCTTTTCATATACTAGGCAATTCATGGTTCCAACTCAGACAGTCAACAACCGTCGCAGCAGTTTTCCCAGTGGGATTAAAATTTTGACTTACTAACAACTTCACAATATCAGCTTTAAAGTGTACTACTTAATTTTCACTTGTTAGTCTCAGACTAGTGGACTAGCTTTAGTGCTGAAAACTGATTTGTGATGTTGCCAGCAAAAAACTTTACAATGTGTGTAAGTGCCTGATGTTCTATTTTTGCTTTTCTTCAGCAAAGGCAATCAAGCCTATCAGCAATTTTATTAAAGGTGTACATAAGCTCATGTCCTGGAACAATTTTGCATCTACCTGTCTGGCATTTATAGTAAGTACAATGACTGTATATCAATCAATCATGGCACAGAGAGAACAATACATCAAATGAACCATCAACCAGGAGAGTGAACTCAACATTGGTGAGAGGACTGCACATTAGGAGCATAGACCAAAGACCATTAATACTGGGTGCAGCACCTCTTTACAGTACTATCCTCAGGGTTGCTGGATCCAGGATGTTATAAGAGGAGGGGTATAAAGTAATTCATTCCAAGAAAGCTGCTCAATTTTAAAAGTGGAGTTATGGTGGCCTGTGGTGGCAAATCACATAATTTATTTATTTCTTGATTATAAGAAAAGCTTCATCTATATAACAAGAGTATCCGCACAGCTTTCCTTGTTCTTTGATGTCCTTTACTAAGTGATATACTATATACCTTTGTTCTCAGGTTTACATGTATGCAGCATTTTTTGGCTACCTGTTTTCTCTCGTTCTTCTGATAGCTATTTGGAAACTTTTCATGAATTACCTCTCAGCCAGGTATATTAATTTGTCTTTTAAATATATGTCATTAGAAACTTTTTTTAAATCTATCATCAATTTGCTCTCAATGAGAATTATTACAACTACCACTCCTTCTCCTTCTCCTCCTCTTCCTATTATTATCATTATTATATTATCACTATTACTATCATTATTATTATTATTATTATTATTATCATCATCATTATTATTATTTTTATTTTTATAACCGAAATAATTTTTTTAATGTTAGAGGAATAACTGCTCAGATTGGACTAGAAGCAAAAGAAAAAAAAGAGGAGGTAAGGCTATTACTATTTGTACCAGGTAATCCAGATAATCCAGGAAATCCAGGGAATCCAGGTAATATCCTTTATTTTGTCCCCCAAAACATACACTGTAATGCACTCAACTCAGTTATTCTTTCTCAACCTCAGAACTGCTAAAATACCTTTATTTCCAGTTACAATCCTGTTTTTAATAAGTCCTGAAAGTTTATCTTCTGGGAAACAAAAAGCATAATTTAAGTCTTTTTTATTTAGACAAATGATGACAAAAGTTTGTCAGACAAGTTTCAACTTGTTTTGGAGGTCGCGAAGAAAGTTCAGGTATGAAAATTGAAATGTTTTTAAAATGTGTTAAAACACTTTTTAACACCAGCAAACGTTTTAGTGCACATGTTTTATTTAATGAATATTTTTTTTAGAATACGTTAGGAAAGATAGCCGATTCCCTTGAAAAAATAGATAAGTAAGTAAAACCATAATGTGACGTACATGTTGGTGCGCGTGTATGATGAATGTATTCATATGTCAATGAATATTATGACGTACATGTTGGTGCGCGTGTATGATGAATGTATT